ACTGTCTCTTTTACCCTACGCCAGAAGGAGGGTTATGTCCGTGGTTATGTTTTTAAGTAATTTTTTAGAAAAAACGTCAAAAAACACGACCTTGTGAGTCCACAATAAACAGTTATTTTCCTCAGTCCCACAAAAAGTGACAAATGCGATGTCAAAAAAACTTTCATCAGGCCCGTCACTTCGTATAAAGCGCTGAATTATTCAGGTAGGATAATTTATGGGGGCTGGATGAACCTAAAGGGCCAATTAGGGAACCGATCGAATTCGAGACTATCACGGCTCGTTCCCACGTCAATCCAGTTTTGAGGGATCCGTCCTGTAAAGTGGACAGTCGTGTGAACACAATTACCTATAATGTGAGTTTGAAATTCGAATTACACCTTTCGTTGTTTCAGGCAAACGGGATGTTCGTGTGAACGTTAATATTAAAACACGTGCCTATAGTAGTACTAAACGGGATCCTGCAAAAAACAGTTCCTGCAAAAATCGGGATGTCTCCGTGAGAACTAACCTCAAAGTCTATTGACTTACTAACTAATGCTCGAGTCTATAGAATCAGTAATCGAGAGCCCAGGGGACTTCCCCTTAGAAATATCATTTATCAAAAAGTTTTTCTGGTGCTCGACAGATCTCACGGATCTCATACTTCATGAATGATGCATTTTGTGAATTTTTCTTCATTTTTTCCTGGAATCTAGAGAAGTCGTCGTCATTTCAGCCAAATAACGTCCACTGCTAGACAAAAGCCTCCCCCAAGGATTTCCATAACGAACTATCCTACGCTGCCCGCATCCAGGTTCTTCCCGATTTCAACCATACATATTTTAGGTATAACATTTCAACCTACACTACTACTACGCTGGATGCAGGCTGCTACCAACCGTACGATGTGGAAGTCATTGGGGAGGCCTTTGTTCAGCAGTAGACGTCCTATGGCTGAAATGATAATGATGATAGAAAAAAAAAGAACTTATCTAAATAGATCAAAACACCTAGTAAAATTAATAACTAACTATAAATTGATGTTGATAAAACATCACTCGATAACATAATAATTTCTATCGACTCCAGAATCGAGTTCTCTCTTCGATGCGGCAAGCAACCGAACGAGAATTGTAAATTCCTTGCCGTCTCCACGTGGAATGGAATAATATAGGTATTCCTCACCTCATAGCCTTCCAGATATAGCTTTTGTTTTATCCTGAAAATAGCTTGGCAAGATAGAACTACCCCGCTGAAAATACGTGTGCATTCGCTGTTACATAATGTGTTATGTCTGTCATCATCTATGTGTATCATTTTATATGTGTGACAGATAAATTTTGATCAAGTACCTACCACATTTTTTTATGCAGAACAAGGCAGGAAAATACCTGCCATGTTACGAATAAAAAAAATTACCCGCAATCGCTCCTGATAAGTGGATTGCAGTTTAGGGTGGATTTTAATCCACAAAGAGGAAGTTTTTGGTCTGCATCTCACTTAATTGTCGAAAAACAAAAACATCACTTTGATACATTTTAAATTAAAAAGCTTTTGCCCGCGGCTCTGCCCGCGTGAATTTCTATCGGTAACAGAATGTTTTACCATATTAATCTTCAGCAACTCGGCAACCATAAAATTAATGTTCAGACATTGTCATTTGTCACCCCCTTTCCTCTTTTAGGAGATGAAATATGTAAATGCATCCTAGACTGCATCTCACTTATCACCAGGTGCGATTGCGGTCAAATACCTGCAATGTTATGCATGAAAAAGCCCCTGAAACACGTTTTTTACCTGAAATTTAAATAAAACTGACTAATTCCGTTTACCAAACCTTAGCTATTTCACTCAGACTGATAAATAAATAAAAAATATCCTCGGACATTTTACTCTGCGCCTCTAGTCCCAAACTAAACTAAAACCTAAATTAGAAGAATAAAGCAGAAAAACTAAAATAAACCCACTTTATGTTGGAATTATACAGACGCCATGTGAAATACGAAAACTATGGCATCATAAAGCCTGCTCATAAATTTTAGTGCGCTGTATTGTTGAGGTGCGCTTGGACTAAATATATCATACAGAAGAACGATGTATTCAGACAGACAGTGCCTCGATCATAGCTCAGAAAGATAAGACAGTACCTCTAGCATGAACAACTTTCATCTTCGAATCGTTTGCATAGTCGACAAAATTCGATAAACGATAATGTGACAACTTTGATTCTCAAAATAAGTTTCGTGCAACCATTTCTCATACTAAGTTCACTTTACGACAAGTTCAAAAGGGCGCTGTTGTAGTTTTCGTGCTAAATCTTTTGATGGCGATTCGAATACGCAAACAGCCTCGAAAGTTTTTTGTGCTAGCCGTACAGATTATTATGTACTATGTAGTAAGTACACCAAAAAGATCATGAAGTATATTTTTACAACTACACTTAACTTCAACTTAATCTTCAATAATCTTCATACTTCAGTCCCCAAGAGAAGGGTGTTGTAAAGGTCTATTCCACTTTGATCACCTGGCTTTGATGACCCAAGTGATCAAAGTCCACTTCCAGTGACAATTTAGTGTCCATTGATCACCCACGGATATGATGCCCTGGGTGACCAAAGTGGACTCCAGTTAAATTATTATTTTAGTGCCCTTTGATCACCTACATACAAATCACACCTCCTCTTATACTTAATGTACGGACAAACATTGTTTAGGTAAGTAACCCTTTAAAATATTTCATGCTGTAAAAAATGTCTAAATTAAGAAAATGTTTGTACTTACAACAATTGGACATGACGTGTCTATTCAGAGGTGTGATTTTTATGTAGGTGATCAAAGGACACTAAATTGTCGCTGGAAGTGGACTTTGATCACCTGGGTCATCAAAGCCAGGTGATCAAAGTGGAATAGACCGTTGTAAACCTAATTTGGAGACCACTAGCAATGCCAAATTTTATAATATATTTCGAATAAAGATTTTTTTTAAATTTACTTGATCCTATCCCTACTGGTGAAATAAATACACTGCAACAAGAGCGTCATTGTCACTTGTTATCAAATCAGTCAGCAATTGGTAGTTGATACTAATAATATGTAATTCCAAAAACAACTTACATAATAAAGGAACACTCGTGAAATAACTCATTTGATTGGGTGCTGTGTAGTAGAACATAAGCATCACTAAAAGAGCCCTTAAAAAAATTAGTTAATATTGTTTTACTTGTTTTGTCAAAATTTTTACATTAGTTCTAAACGTTTAATTACTGTTCTATTTTAGCTGAAGGAGCGTGGCTCANTGATGTATGCATAACATTGCAGGTGCAATGTTATGCATAAAAAAGCCCCTGAAACACGTTTTTACCTGAAATTTAAATAAAACTGACTAATTCCGTTTTACCAAACCTTAGCTATTTAACTCAGATTGATAAAAAAATAAATATCCTTAGACATTTTACTCTGAGCCTCTAGTCCCAAACTAAACCAAAACCTAAATTCGAAGAATAAAGCAGAAAAACTGAAATAAACCCACTTTATGTTGGAATTATACAAACGCTATGTGAAATAAGAAAACTATGGCATCATAAAGCCTGCTCATAAATTTTAGTGCGCTGTATAGTTGAGGTGCGCTTGGACTAAATATATCATACAGAAGAACGAGGTATTCAGACAGACAGAGCCTCGATCGTAGCTCATATGGAAAAAACAGGTCATTATTTTTATGGAATGGGGCTTTAAAAAATACTTTCATATCCTCTTTTAAGCGACACCGCTCCGCCGTGACCACACCGCACTGTGTGGCTTCTCTCTTAATCACTGTATTTTTCGCGAAAAAAGTTATTGAAAAGTTTTTAAAGGTTAAGGCTTATTTTCGCGTACAATTATGTCTATGTGTACGTATTTTTCTATGAACGAAGCAAGTTATCCACGTGAGCCAATTTTAAAACCACGCGCATCGGATAAAAATAATTAAATATGAAAAAAATGCTTTCTTTACGTAAGTAGATTAATTTACTGATTATAAGTCGCTCCTACAAATTTGGATACTGATAACAAAATCACCCTTTATATTCCAAAAACTTACTTAAAGAAACACTCGTAAAATGAATCTCAAATTATTCATTGGGTGATGTCTAGTAGATACCCAAGTAAACATCGGGTGGTAGAGCATCACTAAAAATAATTTAAGGCCGGGTTGCACCTTCTTACTTCAACTTTGACAAACGTCAAAAATCTGTTAAACTCCATACAAAACAAAAACACCGTTTTATCGTTAAAGTTACGGTCAAAGTTAGGTGGTGCAACTCAACCTAAGTTATTATCGTTTTACCTGATTTAATTTTTTCTAAGTTTTGCAATACTTAGTTCTAAACGTTTAGTTACTGTTCTATTTGAGCTGAAGGCAGTGGCTCAGTAATAAACTTGAAGGATGATTTGCATGCACGGTTATCTAGGTCAAATAAAATAGCTCTTAAATTAAATATAATTAACTGTTTTATCGCTCTGAAAGCGATGTCAGTATGAAGTTTAATTTAAACTGGGACAGTCTAAAAAACACTGTTTAATTTTTTTGCTATCAGAAGAAAAGGAAGACAATGTCCATAATGAGTCTGTGAACGAAACTCAAGTGAGTAATAAAAGGTTTGTATTCTATTCGAGTCAATGTAAAGGGTAAATAAGACAATAAAAACTGAAAGCTGAATTAAAAACTAAATTATTAAATTAACAAAATAAATTGCTCACTGCGCCATCTGTTATAAATTTCCAACATTGTTTGTTGGCGCGCCCTCTATTCAGGCTACGTCGAACTAAATGTTGGTGAAAGCAAGCCTTCGAAAGCACAAACGTCTGTAGCAGGTAGTTTACAAGTAGTAGCATAGATGGCGCTGAACACGAATACGACGCTGAAAATTTTCCTACGATTTTCTTTTTTCAATTAAACTTTTCATACTGAAATATACCTATTTGGTCTTATTTATTGGAGTTATTGATTTTTTACCAATGTAAAACTAAAAACTTACCTGTGGCATTATTCGTATGGTTATCTTGAGTATGATTTTCTTCTTTGGTAGATTTGGCCTCGGTTTTGGCTTCGGAGCTGGTGTTGCATCCCATCCTGCTCGCACAATCGACACTAGTTAAGGTAAAAAAGAGAGCGCACTAGTCACTGAACCTCCCCAACTATTATAACATGCTGCTCCTCATTTGGCTGATCTGGAACAAAGAAAAGTATAATTTAGTAAAGTAAACTAAGTAATCATTTAGTACATTTAACACATTAGGTAGGCTTAATTTCGACCTATTTTATGAAACATGACGTTATTGGACAAACTAAAACAATAATTCTAAGATAAAATAATGCTGTAACGCTTTAATTTCGCAATTCTTCAATAGAAAAAGCAAAATAAGATCTCTAACTGGAAAATTCATGGAAAAGTAAATAAATACGAATTTCCTGAAAGATTTTGGGAAATGTGTAAACTTCCTTTGTTTTTGTAGCAGTTAAAGTGAAAAGATATCCAAGGATATTTATGTATTACGACTGACTGACTATAGTCATAGATATCCACACAAAAAAATATGTAAGTATGTAGTTATTCTAACGAAAGATAAAGTCTCTGTACTTTTTATTATCTTATAGTTTGGTCGGTTTCTAATTTGTATGAAGAAAATCCAAAATACCAAATCGGTGTAATGTGCGCACTTTCATATATGCCCATACTGATTAACAGCCTGACCAAACTATGGACCAACGAAAAGTAGTACTAACGTTTCGCCTTTTTGGCGCAATTTTTGAGGCAAGAAAGATTTTAAACAAAAAAATAAGTAAATTCTCTTTCTGCCTACATCGCTTTGTCATTAATTATAATGACAAAGCGATGTATTTAAAAATGCACAACCAGTATCAAACACGAAGCGTATTTATAACAGAGGGCGTAATGAATCCAATTTTCACTGAGGGTACATTTCAAAACATTCATAATGGAGGGTAATGATACCTACCCTCGGGCGAGGGCTGTATTAGAACGTTACATTCTTTAGTGTGTTCTGGAAATGATTTATCAATAAATGTATATTCATAGACAATGGAATTTCTATTAAATTTTTGGGTATTATTAAGCTTCGGAGCATGATGGTCAGTGGTGCCTTGAGCCCAAAGTCCCGGGTTTGATTTCAGAATTTAAAAGAGAAGAAAAGGTTTTTACTCAGTGCATGTTTACATTGTTCTAAGTTTATTTATTTACTGCTTTTGCCTACAGCTTTCCCCGGTGAATTACAATCTATCAAAGAAGGACTTTGTTTTACTTATTAAAAATCATAAAAATTCCAAATATACCTTCTAAATCTGTTCAAATGACAAATAGGTGACAGACAAACTTTTGCATTTATATTATTGCGTGACGTCTGTCACAGAAACTTTTCTCGAAATCGATTCAGTGATTTAGGCGTGAAAGCATAACAGACAGACAAACAGTAGGTAACTCTATCATATTTTTATTATTAATACGGATTTATTTACTATATAAAACCCAGTAAGAAACGAGGAAGACGCAACCCTGAGATGCAAACTTTAATATTATACTCGTAGAAGAACTTTTAATTTTCTACGCGCATGAGATCCAAAGTTCCGCCTCACGTCTATAATATAATATAATATTATATTATTATACACACACACACACGTTTTATGAGAATGCGATCTAACTTCGAGAAACGTGGAGCTTTGTGAAAAATATAGGGCGTCCCAGAATCAAATGAATTTGACATAATGCTATCTTATGGTAGCTAATGTTCTAATAAAATTATAATTTAAATTCACAAGGACGGCCATTTTTTAAATAATTACCTAATTGAGTATTCCTATTAGTTATTATTACACACAGTTGAGTTTATTCCTAGCTTAATTAGTAAATAGTTGTCAGTAGGTACATAGGCTCTTTCATGGAATTATTACTCGTGTAACTGTATCTGTTTCTATGAAAGTGTATATCCGATATCACCTAAATATTAATTTCCAGAACTGAATCGATAGTACACAAATTAAATGTGATGGGTATTCTAGAACAAAGCAATATTGCATTCTAGCTATTATGAATACAGTGGCTCTAGCTTTGAAATAATAATAAAGCATTAATAACTATTGTTAAAATTATTAATGTATGTACGAATCCTTTCAAATTGGTAACATTCTACCTCATCATAGTAAGTACTTTTGTATATTCATACCAACATATGGGACCATTTTATGTCCTCTGCCTTTATTAGAATTTAATATCTGCTACCATTAAGCAATAATAATTAAAAAACATAGCCTATTTTAACACTACATTTTACGGAATCTCTGGCCCTAAAAACCCACAAACTTTTCTCTAAAAAAAAACATTTTTGAAATCCATAATAATGTTAGAAAACGAGTGACGTCATAATACACCATTTGCCATACAATCAATGCTCGAGCCGTGTCAACTCTTACATGAATGACACCTCTTATAAAGTATGTCAATTGACTGTTTACGTCAAGTACCCTAACAAAACAAATTGTTTAGCTTCCGGCATGAAACCAAGGTAAGCCTGTATTGATCAAACAGACCTAGGTCTTATCTATGGTTGCCTAGGAAGCCTAGGTGAGAATGTTACGGCTACAGAACTGTGCTAAATAATCCTCGCCTCTAACCTAAAGTATTTGAGATTCGTAAGTACAAAACTCTTTGTTTGGGTATTAAAAACTCTACATAAAATGTCACGAGCACAACTGTAGAACTAATAAATAATTACATAATCATCATTAGGTCATTTAGTCTCTATTTCAGGACCTGTAGGCCTAAGATGCGCGCCGCGATAAGCGGTTATCACACCATTTTATCGATTTTGCCCATACATTTTGACGTCGATAAAAGTTATCACGGCGCGCATCTTAGGCCTACAGGTCTCTCTAATTTACCAGAAGCAAATGGAAAGATTTGACCTGAAGTTACGAAAATGGAAGAAATACTTCTAATAGCCTGAACTGTTTCGAGAAAAGAATGCTCAACTTGGCGGGAGCACTGCTGTGCCCGTAATCATGTCACTCTATGATCTTTTATAAAGTTAACAGACAGACATATCTACATTAAATTTTAATACGAATGCAAATGAATGCTGTCTGCGTCTGTAATATTGCTAATTACAGGCCGTGGCAGTTCGTTAGCGGGTGGTCATGAAAATTGTAATTAATAATCGTTAATGAGTCCCGGAACGGCGACGATTCGGTTTCAACACGTAATAATTAGACTTTAAGTGATGACTGAATCATTGAATTAATGATTAATGACTTAAATTATTGTTAAATTAATGTTGTGTTGGAAGAAGTATGTAAGGTAATTGAAAAGCCATCTTACGCATACCTTCTAATGAAAAAGATTGACTGAAACTGACAATATCTAATATATTATCATCATCATTATCATTATTTCAGCCAAAGGACGTCCACTGTTGAACATAGGCCTTCCCCAATGATTTCCAAATTGGCTGATTGACAGCGGTCCAGCTCCTTCCTGCAACCTTTATAAGGTAGGAAGTTCATTAGGTTACTGACGAATAAGGGTGATTTTAACTCGTATAAGTCACTAGCAGCCGCCCGCGTCTTTATACGCGTGGATCCCGTTTTACCCTCTTAGGGATTGAATTTTGCAAAATCCCGTCTTAGTGAGCACCTACGTTTTAAAAGGACAATCTAGAAGTGCTAGGAGTCTCAAATTGTGCATGCACATTGTGTTAATATTGTGAAAAAGCGCCGCAAGNTCCGCAAGTAACTCAGTCACTTTTGTCTGCCTCTTTAAGGGTTACATTGATAAGCTTAGGTAAGCAAAGATTTTTATATTAATCTTCTACTTTATAACAGCTCTTTTCCCTTAAAGTGCGTGTTCATATATTCCTTAAACTTATTAATAGACCTGGATGTCTTTATTCCCCACTTACAGATGTAACACAGCATTAAACAAACGGCCTTTCGTCACGAATTCGAAGACAGGCCATGATGACTAATATAACGGTTTTCTGAGGCCGAATCTTACTTTTGCAATGGCGTTTTTAACCGCTCTAGTTTCCTTTAACTGACGCCAGTGCGAAAACTTGGAATTATCTATCGCTTTTTCGTAGTCTTTCGTAGTCTCGTAGTCTGTCGTAGTCTCGTAGTCACTCGTAGTTTCGTAGTCTTTGGATGGAAGTCGATCCTTAACTTCGGACTCCTCCTATGTTCTTCTGATTAGTTTCGTTGCGGGTCCAATGACAGTTTAACTTTCCCCCGGGACAAACTTGGCCTTTACTGGTTTGGTTTTTATTGACGGTCAAGCTATAGATATAGGTGGGAACGAGAGGTGGGAATAGCCCCATATCACTTCATTATTTATTCGTGATCGCTTCATTATTTACACCCGGGATACCTCTAACCTACTGAGCATTTAAAGGACAAAGGATAATTTTCTTAAAAGAAAGATAAAAATAATATACCTTTTCAGCGAGTCGTTGTTGATTGTCAACGACCGCACTTTATTATAATTTTATGAATATGCATTTCTCTTCTGATGGATGCAGGCTGCTATCAACTGACAAATCTGAAAATAATTCGATGTCTTTGTTCAGTAGTGGACGTCTTGTGGCTAGAATGATGACAAATGATGTATTTCCCTAGAAGTTTGCGTCTTTTATTTTGTTGATTAGATTAGATTGGACGTCAACTTATTTCTTAAAACACCTTAAACTTTAATCCGAGTAAACTCAATACAAATAAATTAAATTTACTACTTTCACACTTTCCAAAAGTTCGAACAAAAGGCGTCAGTGCGAAACTTTCAATTCTAATTTTAGCACCACGTTCCGTTCAGCCAAATGTTCGCGAGCACGCGAACTCTCGNGCCGCAAGAAACTCAGTCACTTTGGTCTGTCTCTTCAAGGGTTACATTGATGAGCTTAGGTAAGCAAAGATTTTTATATAATCTTCTTCTTTATAACAGCTCTTTTTCCTTAAAGTGCCTTTCCACATATTGCTTAAACTTATTAATAGGCCTGGATGTCTTTATTCCCCACTTACAGATGTAACACAGCATTAAACAAACGGCATTTCGTCACGAATTCGAAGACAGGCCATGATGACTAATATAACGGGTTTCTAAGGCCGAATCTTACTTTTGCAATGGCGTTTTTAAAAGCTCCAGTTTCCTTTAACTGACGCCATT